CTCACCTCATAGCCCTTTTCCAGCAGAAATTCAGCCAAGTACGAGCCATGCTGAGAAAAGAAAGATAGGAAAATGTTAGAATCCCAGTGACTGAGCTTGGAAGATTTAGACTCATCATGGTTTTTAAAATATTTTGAATCTGTATTGACTGGATACCAGCATACACTTCATTTGTTAAAGTTTAACAAGCAGTACAGTTCAACAGAACACACCAGCAGTAATTTAGAAACAGTCTTCCATTCTCTTGAAACCTTGCATCCAGCTCCTATTTTTAAATACCTAGAGGAGAGGGAGGAATTTTGCTATGAACATCAGATTTCAGAGCTCACGAGGAGAAAGAAAATGAAAAAGCTGAGAACCAATAGAGAGAATACTGACAGAAGACAATGCACATTTTTACCAATTGGCCTCTATCTTAAGCACCGCTGATCATTCCATATAGCAGTGGTTCCCAACCTGCGGTCCGTGGACCTCTGGTGATTTGCAATGGTACTGTAGGGGGGTCTGCAGAAAATTAGTAAAGAAAAAGTAAAGTAAGGATCCGTCCCACCATGGGACTGGGACTTTCTCACCCAGGGCTCCCTGTTTGTGACTGGCCACACATATGCTGCCTCCCACTTCCAGCTGCACTGCCATTTAAGCTCCAGCCCTCTCCCCCCTCCCAGTCCTGCAGTGGGCCCAATCCTTACTTTTCCCCCCCCCTTTTTTTTTTTTAAAAAACTCCCCAAGGTTCCATGTCCAGCCAAGGGCAGAGTGCTAGGGCAGGAGCTGCCTTTGGCCATGACAGCCCCCTCGCCATATCCTCCATGGATAGGCAGGGGACGGAGGGGACAGGAGCTGAGGAAGCAACGTAGGCCAAGGGACGTGCTGGCCGCCATTTCCCACCACTCTCCGGTGGGGAGGGGAGGTCCGTAAAATTTTCAACAGACTGAAAAGGGGTCTGTATGCTCAAAAAGGTTGGGAGCCACTGCCATAGATAGTATTAATGCTTCCACGTGTGACACAGCATGAACTAAGCCTTTTATTTTACTTCACTGGTTTGGTTTCTCAAAATATATGTACTAAAACTTCTATTCCAGTTTACAAACAGGAATGTAAAAACTATTCATAGCTTTCATGTTGCTGGGTTTTTCTGATTTTGCTTTTTGGAGACAAGGGGGTAATTTAATCTTGTTCATTAGCACTGATGGGATTACCACTAACTATAAATCACTATTTTACACTTTATAACTGTACGATACCCGATATCATTCCCATCATTGCAAAATGTCTCCACGTATGCAATATAAAAGCTACAAAACACATACAGAAAATTGGGCATCCATTCCCAGCAAATTTCCCTTTTTCCCATTTTTTTTCTTACATGAATTACTTGTTTAGAGATAACCCCAATCATGCAAAAATTAATGCAGGTACTTAACACAACATAAACCAGTTGCTCTACTGAAGTCAATTAACCTGCTGTAGAGACTCCAAAAAGTCAATGGGACTACACGCTCACAAAATTTGCAATGTGCATGTCTTTGCAGGGTCAGGTCAAAGACACTATCTACAGTAAAGTGAACACACACATTCATTTAGTTCCATTTTAAAAACATTTTCAGCCTCACAAATTGTGCTACTTGATCTTTCATTTAGTGACAGCGTGGGGGAGGAGAAAATAGTAAAGTAAGCCTTGTTGCTTAATTTGGAATTTGAGATGAACTAGAAGGCTTTAAAATGACAGGGTTGCCAGTAGGGAATGTTTACTATATTGATGCTGAAGTTGTGCATAAATCCATGCAAAATGACAGGGTGTGGTAAACAAGGGACACATTTTGTGGTTAAATTAAAACTCCAGCAGCTTTTCTTATGACTGACCTAAATATTCAGCTGTATAGTTTTTTATAAACTAGTATGGCGAGAAAAGAAAAAATAAAGACTCTTGGCATATACATATTTCTTCTACTACACACAGGATATACATGCATGCAGTTTCTAAATTCTCCTAGTCAGACAAAAATCAGATTATGATGCTGGTTAATTTGGAACATGAGAGGCCAGGTCTGCCATGCCACCAGCGGAAATGTTGGAATAATCTGTGGTTCCATAAATCAAAGGACAAGAATAAGACTCTATAGAAAAAGCATTCACAATATAAAACTTAAAGTAAAAAAACCCTGGAAAGTATGAGGGTTTTTTCAAGAAGCAAGCAGACCTGTAATTTACACATTTTATAATTCCCCCAAGATGAAAAAATAAAAAGTGCTCAGTGTTCTGCCTTGGCTATATAACCTATTAAAAAAGCAGAGGTGAAAGTGCTAGAGACCTGGAGAGCAAGCAAGCGCATGAGCTTAGGGATTTGGCAAGGGGGAGGGGAAAGAGAAAGGGAGGGCTGTGATTATTTAGAAAGTTGATGTGAAACAGACCTGACCAGGATTGAACCCTGTCAATAAGGTCTTGTTCTTCTCACCCGGGCCGTTTCTCAAACTTTCCAACCACACTGGAACATTCTGAACCAGCAGTGGCATTCACTTCCTTTGCACTTCCTTTCCAGGTCTATCAAGTGATAGGGCATGGTTTTACAATGAGTGGGAAACAGGCAGCAAGTGCGAATGCTACTGGTTTCTGGCTTTAACACAGCACAGCTGATTTACTGTCTGGTAATCTCACACAATGCAGATTGATGTGGTCCTGCTTCAAGATACAGTATCTTAAGTCACTCCCAAAGTTTCTCATTTCCCTCCCCCTTCTTTTCAGTGCAGTAGGCTGTCAATGATTGCTGTAATCAGAAAAGTGATTAAATTGTCATAGAAGTTTACAACTTGCTAGGTACAGTAAAGTTTCAATCTTTTTCCTAATAAGATTCAGAAGCAAAGCTTATTAAAAGACAAAACAAAAGCAGATACCTTCTTGTCCACAAACACAACTCCCAATTTTTTGCAACTTTCTGGAAAAAAAACAGCTGGAGGGGAATATTTAAGGAAATCAATGTTTAGCTATAAGAGCTCAATTTCTCTCTGTTTTCAGCTTTTTGCTTTTAGTCACATACTCAACAGCCACACTGATTCTTAATATGCATTAGACTAGACATGCTGTATAAAAGCTGGAAAGTTTGTTTGCCAAGGTCTCTTGGAAAGAGAGGACTTCCGTTTCCAGAATGAATCTTTATCTAGCAATATTCATACTCACTTATCACACTTAAAGCCATCTACTTGAAAAGCCTGCTTCATTTTATGTGGAAACTATTCCAAATGTGAAAAAAAATTTATTGTAACTTCTACCCTGTGCTTTGTTCATTCTGGTGGGTGATGAGCTATTTTATTTGTTTTAGAGACACTGTTCTCTGGTTTAATTATATATGAAGCCCCCCTTATAATATGACCCACTTTGATATTTTGAACAATATCAAAACAGGAAGTGTGAAGTCCCATGTCCAGCAGCAGACCAACCATTTAAATAGCAAAGAACTGCTTTTAATAGCATTATAACATGGTTTACCCTTGACAAACAAGGCAGATCAAGATTAGCTTTAGCCCTAGCTTTGGCATTGGTCAAAAACACGTTTAATGGCAATTGTTTTTAAAAATTGCTTTGGTTTTAGCAGAGAATGTATTATCTGCATATGTTAATGTATGGGGTTTGGAGATTCACAATACAGGTTGAACCTCTAAAATGTGGGATTTTCTGGTATGGCAACATCTGCAGGACTAGGGATGTTGCCGTACTAAGAGCCCCAATTGCTGAGATAGGGAACTGGCTAGGAGTACAGTGGCCAGGGAGCAACAGGCAATGGGAAGGGGCCACTAGTGGGGAGCCCTGCTGGATTGGACCAGAGCCCAGTGGCTGTGGCTGTGGCTGGCGGCAAGGAGTGTGGGGAGGTTGCGGGGGGTAGGGAGAATCCAGAAGCAGTGAAGCATTGTCTTCCCCTGGTCTGGCAAACCTTCTGGTTTGGGACCACTCAGGTCCCAAGGATGCTGGACCAGGGAGGATTAGCCTGTAGTACCTTCAGCAAGATATAGTAATTGGAAATTACTCTCTCTCTCTTTAAAAGTCATGCCTCACAATTTGCCTCAAGGGCTACAGTTACACTATGGCTATGTCTACACTGGCAGCTACTTGCGCAAGAACAACTGTTCTTGCACAAAAACTTGCCTACTATCTACAGTGTACACGCGTTCTTGTGCAAGTAAATTTATAGTATAGCATTGTAAAACAGGGCTTCTTCCAGAAGTTATTCCTCTCCCCACGAGGAATAAGCCCTCTTGCGCAAGAGCTCTTCCACAAGAGGGCAGTGTAGACAGGCAACATGAATTTCTTGCGCAAGAAGCCCCTATGGTTAAAATGGCCATCAGAGCTTTCTTGCGCAAGAGAGCGTCCACACTGCCATGGATGGGGTTGCACAAAAGCACATCTCTTGCGCAAAGGCACATGCCAATATAGACGTGCTCTTGTGGAAGACTTTTTGCGCAAGAAGCTGCCAGTGTAGACGTAGTCTATGAGTTTTGCTGCAAAAATCTATGCAAATGAAGCGCAGATTAGCATTTTCCCATGCTTCATTTGCATACTCTTTCGTTCCGTTTTTGCGCTAGGGGTTTTTGTGCAAAAATAGGCAGTGTGGCTGTGGCCATTTTGCGCAAAAAAAAAAAAAAAACTCTCTCCACAAAATCCTTATGGCCTCTCCGGCAAAAACGGAACGAAAGGGTATGCAAATGAAGCACGGGAAAATGCTAATCCACGCTTTATTTGCATAGGCTCTTGCGGCAAAACTCATAATGTAGCCATAGCCAAGGAGAAAATAGTAGATTTCCTTACTGCTAAATCAAGGTGCATCATATTTCTAAAATATTTGAAGGAATATATACGCCTAAATTTTCCATGAGACTGCAATGAGACCATGTCCACATGCAATATATTTTCATAAAGTATTTAAATAGAACTTTAATAAACTTTTCTGCAATATAAATGAGAATCTGTTACAAAAGATTCAAGGATATTACAAAGTGATAAATAACCTCAGAAGACTTACATGGTGTATGCAAGATCAGAACTAGGCTTTAAGACTTTAACAAAACTATGTCCTCTCCCTCTGCTGTTTACTTAATGAAACCCTTGAAGGATTTTCTCTTTCAGGACTTTAACCTATCATCCCTGATCAGACATTTATGATCTAGGGAAATATATTCCTTCTTCCCAAAATTTCCTTTATATTAAGGCCAGACAAGTGAATTTTTTCTCTTTCTGGCTCCTGGGAAAAATTAGTGAAAGTGTATGCTACATTTTTAAATCACATGCTCATACACACAAACTAAAGAAACTATTCCCTTACTTCAGGAAAAGAAACACAGAATTAAAGAAAAACATCCCCAGTCCTCTGGTGGGAATCCATTCCCTCCAGGAACTACAGTTCTAGGAATTCCAAAAGCATGAAGAAGGATGACAAGAAACCCTATTCCTTGCCATTCAAAGCCCCCAGAGACTGCCAACAAGTCAGCCAGCTAAATGTTTCTGAAGAAGTAGGCAGCCCTTTCATAACTGACTTGTTGACCTTCCTTAGAAAAACAAAACAAAAAACTGAATCCCATTCACTACAAAACTGCTTTTATTACTATTACCTCTTTAGCCCTACAACACTTTTGATCTTTAACAAAAAACAAAAAAACAAAAAAAATCAGACAATTCCCTACCCTGGAAAGCATAAATAATATGGGTAAAATCTTGGTTCCATACAAGTCTATGGCAAAACTCCTATTGATTTCAATGAGGATAGAATTTTACCCTAGATCTTATCCTCCAATACATTTCACATCACTATTGTGATCTCATTATTTCCCCTTCTTTGCATGCCCTAGACACTGTCATTTCTATTCTCCTAGGCCCCCATTTCCTTTCCCCTGCTGTAGGTCAAGCATCTTCTGCTGCTACAATGGTAACAGAATAAGGAAGGAGTAATAGATCCTCAGTGCATGACAGCATTGGATTCCACTGATACAGTGGTTCTATGATTATGGATGATACCATTATATCCATTTTATAAATGGGCACAGTGACTTCTGCAAGATACCTCATTAGCAGAAAAGAACCCCAAAAGCCTCACTTCTAGACCCATACCAGATTACTCTGCCTGCAATGGGATACAGGCAGACATTGAACAATATTAACATAAGGATTAGAAAAGAATCTGTCTATCCACGTTCAACACTGGATTGATGTTGAAGGCATACTCATTAGTCAAATGGTGAAGCTAAATTAGGAAAATTTAGAACTAGGAATAAAAATAATTAAAAATCTCAGGGGGTAGACGTGTTAGTCTCTAAGGTGCCATAGGACATATTAATTATATATATATATATTATATATAAATAAAATTAAATGAAGAGGAAATATCAGGCACTGACTGTACATTTTTAACGTTAATTACTCTTGGCAATTTGTCCCCCCATTCTTCAACAGCACCATTTCATATTGATGGCAAGAGTCATTTCTATTAGGAATGCATACAAAATGTATCAATTAGTATTTTTTAAATTATTGTAATGAAATTCTGGAAGCCAATCACCACAAGTGAATTTCAGAAGGTAGGTGCAATATGACTTTCCAAGTATTCATGGTCTAAAGCAATGGCTCTTAAAGTGTCTTCTGTGACAGTCTTACACAGGGGTGGGCAATAATTTTTTCATCAGTGCCCACTTCAGAAATTTTTGGGCCACTTTAGAAATTTTTGGGCCACATCGGAAGGGGCGGGGCCTTAAGTGGAAGGAGCAGGGCCAGGATATTTCCCTGCTTCCCTATCCACAGACCATGATTGGTCGGGAGTGGAGAAGCGCCTTTCCTCCCCGCCGCCCCCCAGAGGTTCCCCGTAGGCACTCATGCCCATGCCAGTGGGAGGAGACTCTGCGTGCTCCCCCTTATGCCCCTAGGCCCTAGCTGGAGAGGCGGGGTCTCCACGGGCCAGATCAACCCACTTGACAGGCCGCATCCAGCCCACAGAGGCCCTTTTGCCCATCCTAGTCTTACAGGTAGACCCTGGGATCAAGGTTCACTCCCTCCTTGCATCTGCACCCTACCTCTGACCCCCATACTTATCCTGCTCCCCAGCAGCCCCCCTCACAGTGAACCCCCTCATTTTGACCCTACCTCAGAGTCTAGGGGAACCTACAAAGTCTACTAGTCCACCAGAAGAGTTAATCTGGCCTGTGAGAAGCCCCAACCCTCCCTTTCCTTCCCCTACCCCGTCTCCTGTGGGTTAATGGCCCCCAACCCAGGAAGGTTCCTCACCCCTGCCATAAATAAAGACTTAAATAAATTTCCAGTAATTCATTAAGCTAATAAATACTGAAACCTTTTGTTTTGAACATAAATTGATATTTTGCTTTATTTGAAATGAATTTTGGTAAACATGATAAAGTTGAAATGCTTAATCTATTTAATGATTTTGATTAATAATATTTCCTCTCTTACCAGTTATATATGCCCTTTTATGATATAGTTGCCTATTTACATTTTTATGCTCCAGTAATTTGAAATGATTAATTTAGTATTTAAGGTATTTAGATATATGCAAATGAATTTTTTGTCATCATGGGTAGGGCTGGCTGGTGATCCATGAAACAGTTTGCTTTGAGAAGAGTGGGCCATGGGCCAAAAAGTTTGTGAACCATTGGTTAAAAGCTCGCATAGTCACTGACCGTGATACTGATCAATCTTTTTTAATCAACAGCAAGTGATGGTCTTTTGTCAAAGACAATTTTGACAGTCAGATTTGATTACTTGGCTTACACAGTTGGAGAATAATATTTGTATATTCTTAAATGGGTGTTTTGTACAAGCCCACATAGTAAAATGGCACCTTTTCATATAACCTAATTTATAACGGCACTTCACACTCATTCTTATGATAGACAAAATTTGGAGGAAGGAGTGATTACCAACCAATGTTACCTCTAATTTGTCCATCCACATGCAGAATACATTTTATGTGCAATGAGGCATGCACAGATATGCACCACACATGCTGCTGGTTTGGGCACTCTGTTAATCAGCTGCATAGCATTTGAATCTCTCCTTGGTGGCTGCCCACTTAGCTTATAGGGAAACTGCTATCAGTTTGTGTTAAATTAAAATTTCTGTGAAGATATTTAATACAAATCACAGATCTAACTTGAAATACATTTTCAGTAATTCATTAAGCTAGTGAGAGAATGGGGAGGGAGCAAAAACCATATTTCACTCTGAAAAGTTCCACCTACATTTACAGAACTATTCAAACAATTGTTATTAATAAATAGTGCTCATTAATAAAAGGTGCTCATAACTGCAAGTTACCAAAATAACCCTCTTTGAAAAAGTCTGAAAGTAATACAGTAAAATGTTATTTCTGCTGAAAAATACATAATCCAATAATTTCTGATGACATATGGAGGAAACAGGGATTTTTTTTGTAGATACTATAAACAGAACAGTACTGCACTTTGTCTACAGTCTTCAAGCCATATTTGGGAGGAAATTTGAAAGCGTTCAAAAAGGACTTCACTGAAAACATAATTGTGAACCCCCACCTTCTTCCTATATCTTTATGGTGTCCATTATCTATATACACAAGAGATTTTTAACCTTTATACCAAAGTATTCAATTATTAAAAACAAACAACTCCAAGTCATAGGCACAATTCCTACAAGAAACTACATACATCCTAAAGTTATTTATGTAAACAGAGTAAGCAATCCAATTTTACATCAAAACCCCATGTTTATCAACATGTATTAGGCAGCTAAAGACAATTCGCTGAACTGTGGGTATAAACACCATTTTTCCCCTCCCAAGTGAAATCTCAGATTGGTTACAAGGTTTGATCCATCATATTTCAGTCTTAATGGAACTCAGTCTCTCTTCTCTCTTGTACTTTAATACAGAAATTAATACTTCAGATTAAGGATGTTAAATACTGAGTAATTTACTAGTTGAGTAGTTGATGGAATTTCCATCAACTAGTCGATAGGCACTTCCGCATTACTCGTTTGAAATGTACACAACTGGGGCTCTTGTACATTTCAAAGGAGGAATGCAGAACTCCAGGTGCAGCCAGGGGCCACTGTGAAGTCCTGCTGACTCCGGGCTCCATGAGGGCGCTTCCACTTTGAAATGCACAAGAGCCCCCTCTGGGGACTCGTGTATATTTCAAAGTGGAAGCGCCTCAGTGGGGTAGTCAGAGTCCCCCACTATCCCAGGGCTCCATGCTGCACTGATTCCTCAGCTGATCCCAGACTCTGCAAAGCATTTCCACACAACCCGAGATCAGCTAAGGCCTCCCCAGCTGACTCCAGGCTCTGCGTGCTTTAAAATGATGCGCTGAAACCTGGAATCAGCTGGCGTGTCCCCAGCTGACTCTGGGCTCCATGCAGCACTGCTGCTTTGAAATGCATTTGCTTATCAGATCATCGACTAGTACTTAACATCCTTAATTCAGATTTCATTCACCTGTTATCCTCATGTACAGTAGGGTGTTCGTACAGGAGGGTGTGCAATGTTACCATGCAACTGCACAGAACAGAAAACTGGAATAGCAGCCTAAGTTTTGACTTTCTGGCTTTGTGGGTTTAACTTAAACTAAACTAACAATACAACATTTTAGTGCAATGTTCTTTTTAAAAACATATTATTTGAAACATCTTTACTTTGATCATACTGAATTCATTGATATCAATTGAAGCCTTCCAGCTGAATTGTTGCTTTGATTAGTCAATAAGGTGGCAGGGGGAGGGGAGGGAGGGCACGGAGAGAACTGCAGAGCCACAGCAGGGTTAGCTCCTGGCTAGGGAGCTAACCCTGTTGCAACTCTGCCTTTTAAATGTGTTAAGAGCCCTCAGTCTCTTAATACATTTTAAAAACAGAGGCGCAGCGTCTGGGATCAGATACGAGCCAGGAATCAGTTGATTCGTGGCTTGTGTCCTCCACCTCCCTTGCCCCACCGGAGATGGTGCTGGGGGAAAGTGACTAGTTGAGTCACTACTCAACAAGTATATGCTTATCAGGGTACTCGACTAGTCGCTTACAGCCCTAACATGGATTTACAAGCATGATGAGCGCATCAGTTTAAATTGTAGCAGGGAAGTGGGGAGTGGCTGGATATTAGGAAAAACTCAACTGTCAAGGTAGTTAAGCACTGGAATTAACTGCCATGGGAGACTGAACTCTAACCTGCTCTTAAAAAATCCCAGAGATGTAGACAAACACCTATCAGGCTTGGCCTTAGGGTTGCAACTTCCCAACTGACAAAACCTAACACCCTTGCCTCTCTCCCTTCTCCAAGCCTCCCCCCACCAATTCTTCACTCCATCTCTCATTTGTTATTCCCCCTCCTTACTCGCTCATTTTCATAGGGTGAAGGCATTAGCTGGGGGTGAGATTCCAGGGTGCAGAAAAGGGTTCTGAGCTGGGAGGGTTGAGACTGAGGAGTTTGGAGGGAGGAGGGGATTCTGGGTCGAGTTAGGTGTTCGGGTATGAAAGAGGGCTGAGGTGGTGGCTCTGGGGTGGGGCCAGAAACAAAGGGTCAGGTTGCAGAAGCAGAATCCAGGCTGGGTCATAAATGCAGAAGATGGGGAAGGAGAACTCCAGTTGGGGCCAGGAATGAGGAGCTTGCG